CCAGCACCCACACTTGCGTGGCGCGCCCCTAGCTACCTACCTTGTGCTTCGTGCACTAAGCGAGACGGTATAATGTCCGTAGGTAGGCCACTCCGTCTCCTTCAAGACTGCCCGGCAGGTAGGCAGAGGCAGGCAAACGAGCAAACAACGCAAACAAGCCACCGCCGCCCGCCGCCGTCGCCGCTTTCGCCGTCGTCGCCGCCCACCCACTGGGCCGGCAGTCTGTGGACAAGCAACATGCCGTGTGAATCGACTCGACGCCGCCCTACTTTACACATCGGACGGCCTCTGACGTCTTACATCAAGCAGAATGCCCGTCGTCCGTCCCTTCACAGTGGCCCTGGCGCAGACCGCGTGCGTTCTGTTCAAACCAATTTGGGCCTTGCGGGGATTGATACCGTCACTGGCCTCGGCCTGCCACTTGTCACTGCAGCAGGATGAACGTTGTTCGTTGTGCCATATCTTTCCTGCCAGCATTCCCCCTCCCCCTTCGCCCGCCATCGCTTATTCTTAGTAGCACAATTGGTCTCTAACCTTTCAGTTCCGACTCTTCCTGAGGGTGGTTTGATCTGTTCCGTGACGGGTTGGAAGACAGGATGACAGACCAACTTGCACCTACACAGTAGGTGGCCCTGAGGCTCACCCGCAAGCCGTCACAAGGATACTTGCTCATATCCTAGGCGACGCTGATCCGCCCCGCCGCGGCCTGTTGATGTGTGATTGCTGACATGTCGACTCTCGCACGCAGTCACCGCCCTGATACCCTTCACCTCCCCCTGCCCCGGGTATACCTACTCGTCGGCATTTGGGCCGTTTCCCAAATGAAATGAAATAAAGGACCCAAAGAGAAAGAAAAAAACGAGTTGGTACGGTGCCGGCAGTTGGTTTCTCATCGACCTTGGCATGACCTCTGTCTGTCCAGGCCGTATCGCTTTGTGTCTCCTATTCAAACACCACATGCCATTGCACCCGACCAGCCAGCCTAGCATTCTGTGGCAGTGTGACCCCATCAGACTTGTTTTGCGTTGGCTTCCTGATATCGATATCTACCCAACTATAGATGTCTCTCTCCCTGGGGGGGGGGGGGGGGGGGTCGGCTTCGTCGTCCGTACTTGTCGAATAGGAATCACTGGCTGCTGCTCCCCTACGTTAGCACGTCCATCATATCACAATCATCTTCATGCTCCTCCTTCTCGTCAGCCCCTGACGTCCCACAGCCCGCGCTCGGTACAGATAATAGGGCCCCAAATCTTGTTATCCCCAAACCCCCCCTTTGGGTTTGCCAAGCAAGTTCCAGAATCTCAGCTCCAGCAGGCTGAATGGGCCAAAACCACGGTTCGGGACATGATCCGTCATCATTGATACTGGTCAAGGAAACCCCCCCCCCCCCTTCTGCTGCGCGTGGACTCCGCCAGCCTCGGAAACTCACAATCACCCAAACGGCGTGTGTGGTACCTCGACAACAGCCGAGCCCGCATTCCAGGTGACCGACACCCCTGGAACCACCCAACATCGACGAGGGAATCAAGGCTTTCAGAGCGGCGATTGCGCCTCAATTCTGGATCCCACCTCTTTCTCGAGACTGCCAGCTGCAACACTTGTTCAACCATGTAGTCCACACAGCAATGTCGGCACTATCACTCCCCGATCGCACTTCCCAGCAGGGGGGGGGGGGGTTAACGCGGGTGGACAAAAGACCCTTTTCGTGAAGGAAAAGCTCATATTCTTCTCCCTCGCGCGGCTCAGTCGGCTTCGGGGGGCCTGTCAAACTCGTCACATTATACCCTGCTACTGGCAACATCAGACCCTTGCAAAATCCACCCGTTGCGTGGCCGGTGGACCAGCCGTGCTCTCTTGCGGTAACATGCAGATTCCCGCTCGTGCAAAAAACATATACGCATGCAGACAGACATGGACATATATTTACGCGCACACACACACACACACACACACACACACACGCACACTACGTACACACATACTTCGTACATGCACACACGCACACGCACACACACCCCCCTCTAAATAGCCCCCTAGCCAACAGCCCGGAGAGGAGCCTCGAATCGGTCAACCGGGGCTGGACAAGAAGTACGGCAAGGCGATGCGAGGGAGACCCCCCACCCCCTCCGGCTCAGGTGTCAAACTTTTTGCTCACTAATTACAAGTACAGGGCCTCCCGACGAGGCCATCCAACGCCACGCGTTTGAGACCGCTAGCAGCAACGGCCGCCGCTTGTGCTTCCTTCTTCATCTGCTGCCCTGTCTCCTCGGCCGCCCCCCTCCTAGTCCAGTGATGACTATCTCGGAGAGATAAGACGTCAGTCAAGGGGTTTCGGTTCTGCCACCCCGAATATGCTTATTGTCCGTCACCATCTGCGGTAATTGCGACACGTGCCCGGCCGTTGCAGAACGCCCAGAGCAAGCGGGCGAGCGTTGATGACAAAACAAAAAAGAAGATCCGTGGGAAAGGCCACCACATCACCCATGACACTCCGCTGTTCATAAAGCCGAAGAAAGAAACTAGGGCTCTTGACTCTTGTGCGTACTCTTGACTCGATCAAAGAAGCTCGCGCGCGCGGGTACATACTTGCGTACAAGACTGTCATCAAGTCAGGCACCTTGATCGTATGTTTCATTTATCTTAGTTTCTGCTCTAAAGCCCGGCATCCTTCCCCCTCCGTGCGCAATTGCAATGCAAATCCCCCTCCCCCCCGGTGAGAACGCAACTTTGGCTTGCTGGTATTGAACTAGCATTAATACCACGGGGCATTCTCTTATGTCAGATTTTATAATGAGATCGGGATGCGGTTGCATGGTCAGAGCCATGCTTGTCCCGGCCACCAACCAATCCCATTGCGGCCAGTTGGTAACGTTCTCCCCGATGATCATTGTTCAATAGCTCCCGGCGGGAGGCTTGTTGATCCCCCCTTCATATCAAGCGCCACCGTCCGGGCAGGTCGTAGTCGGCTCGGCCATCGGATGTTCAGTCGCCTACCGCGTTCTCAACCAAACCTCTTGTCCGGGGTCGATGGAGAGGCAAACAAAGTCATGGCCGGGCGAGGCATCATGCAAAGAAGGCTACATGAGGCCTGGACCAGAAACGGGTCACTGGACACTGCTGCTACTGCTGTTGCAAGGATTCTGAACGCGCGCGCCATGTCCCAAAATAGCCACCCACAGCACCAGCTCGTCAAGTGGCGCAAACCAAAAGAAGGCCGGTCGACTTCTCTCAACAGCTCCATCAACTACTGGTCTCCTGCAATCGAGTGCAGAAACGGAAGAGTTTTCTGTGCATAGTCTGCAGCTGTTCTCTGCAAAAAGCCAACCGACCCAACGAGAGAGACGCACCATACCCAGCCACACCGCACACACGATACATGTTTGGTGCACGTCTTTCCATGATGCTCCGTACTTGCCCTGCCCTCTTGGCCTTCCCGAGCCCATGTCGAGGGCTGTATCAAGACTTTGCTCTCTCCCCTTTCTAGGCTTCAGGTGCATATACAGACGTGTCTCTCCTTTCCTATTTCGGCCCACCATTAGTGATATGCCCGATGAAGAGGGAGAGAGAGAGAGAGAGAGAGAGAGAGAGAGAGAGGGAGAGAGCACGATGTCTGGTGGCCTTCGGAGATCAAGTCCGCACATACGGCCTCCTCCTCTAACACACAAACCCCTACAGATATTTGGATGAGAGTCACCATTTGTTGCCTTCCTACCCTTGCTTTCCCTGCTCACACAGACACAGACACACACACACACACACACAGACAGGAAAGAAGTCAAGGTCAGCCATCCCGGCCAAGCTCTAACTGGCTCGTTCGACGGGAAATGCCAGTGAGTCGCGCGGCACAGCGACCTTATTTTTCGAAGCTGTTGCCGATTTGCCATCACCCCATCCCTGGTGTCAACGCTTGGGAGCAGGGATCATGGGTGAGGGTTCCTGGTGACCAGTCCGAGGTTCCTGGTCCCCTCGCTCTCTCGGACCAAGACCCTGGCATCCTAACAGTGCCCACTCTCCGTCGAAACACGTTAGTTACTTTGGTTGATGAGCACCTCCCACAGCCCTGTTCGTTCGTCCTCCCTGCTTCCTTGGGGCCCGGTGTGTGTGCGGGCAGGGATGTTCGTCTAGCCCTCCACCACCCCTCCAGAGATAATATTTCCGATTCTGCTTCCTCGCACGCGGAGACCCCCGGATCTAGACCCAATGCCTCGATGGCACCACAGACCATCGTCACTAAAACCCCGGCGGCATTGTACCCGTTGAGTGACATGACAGCCCAAGACCACCATACCTTGCCTTGCCTTGCCTTACCTTGCCTTGCCTTGCCTTGCCTTGCCTTAGCCTTCCTGGCCCGCCTTCCTTGCCCACCTGCTCGCTCTTTACTCCGACTAGGCGCCGCTTACTGGGTAATGGCACTTCTTGCATGTCTGCCACCATCCCGCTGTGCCATACACGGCTTGTCATTTTTACATCTCTCTACCCCCCGCCCGACATTGGACCTTGGTGCTTGTTCATCTCACTGTTCTTTGTTTACGAACCAAAGTCGTACTCTGTCCATCTCGTACCTGCTTGTTCAACTTCCGGCCAGGTCCTACATACAGCAACACGCATACCAACGACTATCTTGACGGGCTCTCTTGCTGACCAAGCTCCCGCACTGCATAACAAGCTTTGTCTGGCAACAGCAGCAACAACATCATCGTCCACAACAACGGTGGTATCAGACACCAACACGGTCATTGGGCCACGAGAATCTAGGCGATTTCAAGTCACACAGAGGTTGCAGCCTGACCGGTCCGCTCGTGCTATACACGCGGCGGTCTCTGTCTCTCTGCCTCTCTGTCTCTTTCTCTCTCTCTCTATCTCCCTCCACCCCCTTCTACCACGACCACAGCACGCACCCAAAAGACTGTCTGCGCCGAACCTCGCCCCGGACTCTGAGCCAAAGGATCTAACCATTCCAGCAATAACCAATCGTCCCAAGCTCTGGCCCATCCGCCTGTATGTTCGTGGAGCGACGTATCCCCATTGTGCACCGTCTTGGGGAGCTTGTGGACACTCCTATGAACCGGCCTCGCGAGTACTGGTCTCCCGAACAGTGCTCCGCCATGGCTACATCGTCGCACAACTCGTATCCACGATCTCCTAATCCCTCAACACGGTCGTACGACTCCTCTTCAGTCTCGTCCGCAACGTCCCCAAGACAGCCTGCCCATTATATACCCCGAGGCATCATGAACACCGGGTCGAGGACATCAGCGGCACCCCCGCCCCAGCCCATCGGCATCCCTCCTTTACCGCCGGTTAACCAAAACGTCTTCACGCCCTACACCCCGGTAACTGCTGGATCGATCATGGGCCGTGACTCCCATCCCTCGGCCGACTCCGTGGCGAGCACGCCTGGCCCGTCGACTGCGTCCTTACCGCCCATCTCCCAGGCCCAGAAGAGGGCGTATAGGCAGAGGAGGAAAGACCCGAGTTGCGACGCATGTCGGGAAAGAAAGGTCAAGTGCGACGCCACAGAGACGACTAGCTGTTCGGAATGCTCTAGCCGCAATGTCAAGTGCCAGTTCACAAAAGAGACCAACCGACGGATGTCTTCGATCAAGCAGGTGCAGGACCTCGAGAAGCAGATGGAACGCCTGAGGCGAGACAACAGCAACATGAGACGGATGCTTCAGGAGAGGGACGGAGCGATGGATCTTGACCCGGACGGCATGGAGAAGTTGCCACTCCAACTACCAGAGATTGGCAGCGATCCCAAGCGGAAGAAACGCCCGGCCCCTATTCACGACCTGGCGCGGGCAAGGTCTAACATGCGCTTATTCTCCCGGGGCATCTGGAAACCCCCTGCTCAATACCGCCAGGCAGCCTCGAACCCGATGTTTGACCCTCCGAGACCCGATCTGCCCCCGAGACAGACCACTGACCAGCTCCTCCACACTTACTACGGCTCTGCCCACACCATGTTCCCCATCCTCCACTGGCCGACGTTCCAAACGGGAGTTGACGACCTGTACAGAATCGGGAACACAAAGTCGGTGCAGCCGGCGTGGTTGTCGACCTTCTTCGCGGCCCTCGCGCTCGGAAGCCTCTTCAGCCAGGACCGCCACACAAACCGGGCGTATCGGGCGGCGGAGCTGTTGGAAGTTGCTAGAGGTATGATTGACCCCTGGAACAACGACTACGTGCTCGACAACGTACGCGCCTTGGTACTCGTCACCTTGTGCCTCAACGAGATGAACCAAAAGTCGGCGGCCTGGACGTGGCTCGGCAGCGCAGTCCGAGCCGGACAAGACCTGGGACTGTACTCGGAAAGCGGGCCCTGGCCCGTTGTCGAAGGCGAGATGCGCCGGCGAGTGTGGTGGACGATTTACATCCTCGACAGGAGTCTGGCACTCGACCTCGGCCGGCCGGTATTGATTGACGACGCCGACTGCGACATCTCTCTCCCTGCCGGCGTCGACGACCACTACATCCATGAAGGGGGCATCATGGTGCCTCCCGGCCGCGAGCCCCTGAACCACTCTCTGTTGGCTTTGATCAACGTCATCAGGTCATATTCGTCTCTGATCAGGACGCTGGCCGCACCAGTAATAGCGCCGACCAGGCTCGCGACCTTTGACCAGCACTTCGTCACCTGCCTCCGGGCTTTCCCTCCGGTTTGCGACACCTCCAGCACGGGGCAGATCTCGCCTCATCTCCTGACCCCGTTTACCTACCTCCTACACGCCCGTCTCGCGTTACACCGCCACAACCTTGGTCCGAGCTGCCCGCCCGACGTGCGGCTCGCCGCCATGGAGCAGTGCACCCACACGGCACTCGAGACGGCCTCCCTCCTCTCGCGCGCGACCCCGAGCCTTGCAGACGGAGCTACGGCGCTCCTCACTACCCACACCTTCCGCTGTGCCCTCTTCCTCCTCTTGGCAGGATATTGGGACCACGCAGCAACATGCCTGCGCGCGCTTGCGTCCATTGACAGCAAACGCGACGTTGCCATTCCCTGCGGACGATTCCTCGCCTTCTTCGTGTCCACCCTTGCGTCCAAACGCGCCGAGTATGCGGCATTCGTCGCTCGCACGACGCCCCCGAAGCCGTTTGCCCCGCCTCCTCCGCCCCAAGGCCGCCCGGGCCCGACGCCGCTGCAGGAGGCGCTCCTGCATGACGAGGAGCTTCTGGCATACGTCAGTGCCGACCTGCAGGCAGCGCCGGAAACCGCTTGGATCTGGTCCGGCGGTGAGCGCGAGGCCATCTTGTCCCCGACCTCGCCCGGTTCGATCACGGCCTCTGGCGGCGCCAGCAGCGGCCTGTTTAGCGTAGAGCAGCGGACCGGTCTGACCGACAGCGAAATCAAGGAATGGGGAGGTTGGGAACGCCTCGAGACGGCCATGCGGGGGCTGGCCTCGGGCAACTCGACGCCAACACCGACGTCTGCGACGTGGAGCACTCTCCCGGCCGGTATCAAGACCGAGGGCACGCCGACCCTGCCCAGTATGATGACTACGGGTGAGGGAAGCAGCAACAGCAGCCCGACGGCGAGCAACAAGGGCCGATCCCAAGACAGGTTGAGCATTGCCAACATAATCTAGGGAACGGGACCGGGCTTCCTAGGAGCAACTCAATGTGGCTCAATATCGGACTGGGCCTGTCATCAGAGCCCCCCCCCCTCCCCCCTCGATGGGCCCGCAAGATGCACGACCACTCATCCGTACGCAAGCCGGATGCGTGTCCATCCATAAGCCACAAACCGCGCAACAAAATCATGACCGTCTACGAACGTCTCGGAACGAACACGGTCCACGGCACAAGTCACTACGGGGTATCTGTTATGGGGGGTCCCACGGACCATCAAAAGCAGCTGGACTCAAGAAGGGCTTGGTTGTACGATAACGTGTTAACAAAATGGGCTCCAAGCACTGTGGTTTTTGCTGTTTGGTTGTCTCTTTTACTCACTTCTTTTCTTTTTCTTTTTTTTACTTTTTCTTTTGCCGATCAGTTTCCACTTCCGAGCGGGCATGGCATGGCCATCGCCCTTCTCCCCTTCTGGGCATTCGTTATCACATAATATCCGCACTACCCGAAACATATCGGAGTGTGCAGAGGAAGGGGAGGCTGGAGGGGGTCACGTTGGTGCTTTTCTTTCTTCTTTTTTTTTCTTTTCTTTTTGTTCACGGCCTGGTTCGCTGGAAGACCTGGCATGGGTTCAAGGAGTTGAAAACACTACACGAAAAAGCGGCTAGTTTTTTTTTTTTTTTTTTTTTAAACATGGCGAGAAGGGGGGGATTGGATGGGAGAGGAGGAGGCGCGCGGATAGGTTCTGCTTCGTTTGGTCAAGACGCAGGAGTCATCGTCGCCTACCGAGGCTTTTTGTTCTTTGGAAATTTCGAGACGGTTTCCCTGGTGGACACAACAGAGAGCGAAGCTGATGAGGAGAAGGCCGGGCCTTTTTCCCTCGGAGCGATACCGAGCAAAGAGGATGGGAACGGGCTGGATTCGGCTTCGTATGGGTTGTTTTTTTGTTGTTCATATGGGAAAAGGGGTGTTTGCCATGTGTCACTCCAATTCTTTTTTTTTTCTTCTCAATTTTATCGTTCACTGTGATACTTTCTCGTGTGGCTGACCGACGTTTGCAAAGGGTTCTGCACGGGATACTGGGACAGAACAAGAGCGGGCATTGCCGTACAACAACCTATCTACCTTGGGGGGGGGGTATTTCCCCTCCCCCCCTTCTTTTTCCTCCCTTTTCTTTTTTTACATATAGGATCTATGTACAAACGAAGCAGGATTTGGGTCTGAGGACCCGTCAAGGCATGGAAATTCCGGGGGCTCTGTTTCTCCCAGATGACGATGGAAATCATTCTACTCCAGGGCGTCAAAACCGTGAGAGTTGCGGGGTGACTCGTAACACTCGTGCAGACTAGACGTGTGAAACATGCAAATCTCAAACGCCTGCCGTAGTTGATAACTCGGCCAGGGGAACTACTTGAACACGGGTCTTAGCAAAGTGACAAATCCAGGCTGTTATGACATTTCTAGCGACGCATTGAGTCACCACCTACGGTCATGCTCAAAGCTCCAAGCCCCGGCATTGATGATGACGAAAACCAGTTAGCCCGTAGTTCTTTTGCGTTGAGGGTCCGTCGGAAACACGGTCTGGACAATAGCAACAGCCCTCCCCCCCCTTCAATAACCGATCGACGCCATTATAAAACCGGGGTCTCAAGTCTCGCCTCGAACACCGACCTTGACGAGTAAGCTGCGGCGAGCAGAAGATCACAGGTAGCTAGCACCTTTCTCTTGGCGGACTCGGCATCCCTTCTGCTGCCGAGATCATCCCTACAGTGGCAACAACTCAAATCACCCTCATCACACCCCCAGCTTGCGACGGGGTCTGCCCATGCTCGTCTGGCCTCGCTGGTCCCCCACACGCCATGGCAGCTACCCGACGGCTTCCCAGTACCGAGTGTGGTGCCCCCTCCCCCCTTGTTTTTCTCCTATCCGCGAACCCCCCGGGCGTCGAGGCAGCCGTTCCTGCCAGGACCAAGCCCGGCCCAAAAACGCCATGCTGACTGACAAGAAGAATCGGATGTCATTTCTCGAAACCTGGTTGATTCCCGTCAACGGCTTTTGTTTTTCCCCACCCGCAAGATGGGGCGTTTCTGGGTCCTCGGCGACATTTTCGTCGTCCGCCTCATCCGGGGGCCTCAGAAGAAAAAAGAAGAGAAAGAAAATGGGGAGGAAAGGAAAGGCGAGAGGGCTGGACGGTATCGGGCTCGGCGTTACGTCCGCGCTGGGTTTCCTCGGGATAGGGCCTCGGGTTAGCCTCACCGAGCGTTTCTCATCACCAGCGCGCGAGGCCCGATGGGTTGCGGGGACCATGATCTGTGACGGGGGCGTGGAGTTTGGGTTTGACGAGAGAGTTGACAGGCTTCCGGCAGATTTGACTTGCCCCCCTCCATCCCAATGGAAGCAGTCGCCGGCGGCGGGGCAGCACACCCGAGGGTGACGGACGGAAAGGGCGGGAAGGGGAGGGGTGATGTGTGTGTGTGTGTGTGTGTGTGTGTGCGCGCGTGTGTTTGTGTTGTCTCTCTCACTCCTTCTTTCCCTGTGTCCTCAAGGATGGAGGCTGAGATAACTACAGGCTGCTGCTACATCCCGCAGAACAGTGAAGCTGGCGAAGTTGCCATCAGCGGCGCCCTCTTCCAGCCTGACTAGCGGCCGAGTCTCACGCTCCGCACGGAACAGCAGCCAAATGCGTGTCATACCTGATATAGGGATGGGCAAAACCCATTCTTCGAAGCAACGATTTCTCACCAGTGTTTGTTGTCTCTTGGTGGGGGTGGGGGGAGGGGGGGGCGGCGGCTGTCGATGTGATGATGGAGGCGGCGGCGATGGGCCAATGGCGGATGGTGGCGGTGTGGGCCGTTGGCAAAACGTACATCGTACATAGCACGACGTACTGGTGGGCTCTTGTGCTCACGACGTTGACACAAACTGTCAGCAACAACGCCTGGTCCTTGCAATGTCACCGATATAGCCCCCCCCCCCCAGGATCGGTTGAACTTGCCTGGTCGTCTAGTCCTTCTCCCTCCTCGTGTATTTGGGAGCATGCTTCCAGGTCAAGCAAGGCACGTATACCACCCCCCCCCCCCCCCTCTCATTTT